ATATAGTTACATTCTCTTAATGAATAGAGGGATTTGTTCTAATGGTGTTTGTAAATAGGATCTCAAGTCCGCATCTTGTACAGCAGTTAACCACTAGGAAGAGAGTATGCAATATGTTAATTATTGAAACTGTGCTACCAATTTGGTTTGAAACTGTCTCATTGCTATTTATTTCTCAATAAAATTATGGAAAAAAGAAAATACACAAGATCTTGTCAAATAATACGATATATGTTTAAATTTTAAAATGTTGCTATAGTGAGGCATTGGCTTTAACTCCCCTCAAAACACTCAACTTCACTTGAAACCACTTATACTGTTTTCTGAAGCAGTACAGCAGGTCCTTTTTCTTGTCTTTATAATATATGATTTAAAAAAGTATAGTGAATGCTGCTAGTGAGGACCATGGAACACAAATGTCAGCTTGTAAATACCTTAGAGTGCATCCTCATCAACCTTATTTTCAGATCAGACACTGTGACCTCTGGCTAGTCTCCAAAGTCAAAATGATCATGAAAGGTAAAAATTTTGAAGTGATTCAGTATATCAAGGCAATCCAACAGTACACCTATAAGTGGTCACAGAAGAAGATTGCTTTAGAAAGTGGAGAAAATAAGCACAGTGAAATAAATGTAGTTGAACTGAGGGGAGTATTTTGAGAATGTGTCTTTTACTGTTTAATAACTGTTTAAGTAAACAAGCACTTTATTTTCTAATTATGTCTTGTATGATGAATAAAATAAATATGAAACCCCCCCAAAAATGAAAATGGAAAGATATCCATTACTCTTGAGTAGGAAGAATCAACATATTGAAAAATGACCATACTTGCAAAATAGTTATAAAGATTTAGTGCCATTAAAATCATAATTTCAATAGCATATCTTATAGAATTAGAGAAAAAAAGTCCTAAAACTCATTCAGAGCCAGAAGAGATCTAGAAGAGCAGAGACAATTTGGGGCAACAAAGACAAGGCAGTGGGCATCACAATTCCTAACTTGAAATGATACAACAAAGCTATGGTGATAATAATAGCATGGTACTGGTGAGAAACAGACCCAAAGATCAATGGAACAAGTTAAAAGATGCAGAAACAATTCCAGACATACTCAGCTACCTCATATTTGACAAATGTATCAAGCACATTCGCTCAAATAAATATGGCCTCTTTAATAGTGCTAGAAAAATTGGCTCTTCACATGTCAAAGATTAAGATTGGACCCATAATTTTCACCTTGCATTAGGCAAAGACTTTATCAATAAAACCTGATCACAGAAGATCTATCACAAAGAATCAACAACTAGGATCTCATTACAAAGATTTTGCACAGAAAAACCACCAACAGAGTATAGAGACAACCCATAATATATAAAAATTAGTTTCCAGGTGTTCCACAAATGATTACTATAAAGAATGCATAAAGAACTTAAAAAAAATCAGACCTCTCAGATTTACAGACCCAATCAAAAAATGGACATCTAAAATGAACATTCACTCCTCAGATTAATACAAACTGGAAAGCGATTTAAAAAAAAAAAAGGTTCAACAACACATGTCATTTGAGAGATACAAATTAAAGCAGCATTGATATTCCATTTTACCCTTGGAAAATGTATATTATGAAGAATCTAATCAATAATAAATGATGGAAGGACTGAGCTTGGAATGAACCCATACCTTCTGATGGTAGCAGTCAAGACTGGTGAAATAACTGTGGAATCAATGTGGAGATTCCTCAAAACATAGGATTAAAGAAGGGGCCAGCGAGATGGCTCAGTGGAATAAATGCTTCCCTGGCAAGCGCAAGGACCTGAGTTCAATCCCCGGTTCCGAAAAAAAAAATTAAATAAATAAATAAATAAATAAAAATAAAAAACATAAGATTAAAGATCCTGTTTAGCCCAGCTATTGCCCTTCTGGGTATCTTCCCAGAAGAAATAAAAACTTCATACCACAGGAGTTTATGTACACCCATGTTTGCAGAAGCACAATTTGTAATAACTAGATGTTGGAAACAAACGAAATATCCATTAACTGAGGAATGGATTAAAAAAGAGGTGGTGTTTTTATACAGAGGAGTACTACTCAGATATAAAGAAGGATAAACTGGAGACTTCTATAGGTAAATTAATTCAACTTGAGACAATGCTCATAAGTGAAATAAATCAGACACACATGTATAAACATCGTATTGGTCTCTCTAGTGTGAGAAGTTGAAAGAGTAAATAAGATCCAAAATGTAACATACAATAGACATTGTTAAATGGAAAGCAACTTCAAAAGGAAAGAGAAACTGGGATGGAGAAATGAAGAATGAATTGAAAGAACAAAAAGAAATATATACTATATATACTATATAATAAATAGTTACACTACTAATTTTTCTTAGATGACTAAAAAAGGTTTATGCTACTATTGTTTGTACCAATACATGCTGATATCTTTTATATAGTTTTGAGTACTTTAAAAATAATAATATTCAACATTACTCTAATATCGCCTTGTTTTGAATTTTTTTTTTTTTTTTTTTTTTTCGGAACCGGGGATTGAACTCAGGCCCTTGTGCTTGCAGGGAAACACTTATTCCATTGAGCCATCTCCCCGGCCCTTGTTTTGAAATTTTGTGGATTTTTTTCTCTTTAAAAAAATGAGTATAAGTCCTGATAGTGTGCTCCTTGCCTTGCCCCTGATTTCACAATTAAACGTTCTGTTTTTGAATATTTTGTATGATCTTTGCTATTAGTTTGTAACAGATGTCTTTTATCAGATTGAGATGGAGTTCTTCTATTCCAATTTTCTGCATTTTTTCTCATGAATGTGTGCTGGATATTTTCATATATTTTTTCAGCACCTATTGAGTTGAGTTTTGTCTTTGTCTTTGTTGTTATGGTGTTTTACATTTATTGATTTGCATATATTAAACCATCCCTGAAATCCTAAGATTCCTCCTACCTGATCATGTTGTATAATTTTCTTGATTATTTGCTGTATTCTGTTTACTAGTGTCTGATTGAGGATTTTTGAATCTATGTTCATTATGGAGATTGGTCTATTGTTCTCGTACTTGGTTGGAGTCTTCTCTGAGTTTGGTATCAAGGTGATACTTTGCTTTCAGGAGTGTGTTCTGAATTACTATTTCATTTTCAATTTAACTAAAGTGAATGAAGAGTGACAGCCTTCATTCTCTAAATTTTGTGTAGAAAAAATTGCAGTGCGTTTCTTGGTGTTTGTAGCTTTGATTTCATTGACTGATATTGGGTTATTTAGAATTTTTATGTTTTTGATATCGCTATGGTAACATATGTATCTAGGAATCTGTCCACTTCTTTGTTATACGTCTTATAAAAGTTTAAAAAAATCATTATTAATAATCTCCATTTCCACAGGATTTATTTTGATTTTACCCTTAATTGCATGCACTTGAGTATTTTTTCTTTTTTAATTAATTAATTAATTAACTAATTTCGTACAGGGTCTCACTCTGCAGCTTGGACTTGTAATGATCTTCCTGTCTCAGCCCCCACAGTGCGGGCATTAAAGTCGAGTGCCAGTATTCCCAGTTTTTGTGGCTGGACCTGTGCACCTGGAGTTCCGAGGCGGGCGTGGCATGTTGTACTGAGGATTGAACTCACGTCCATTGAGTTTGACAGACAGGCACTTAGACCACTGAGTCCAATATAACTTTCTCCTTTGTGTAGGTTTATATTTGACTCATGCTTCTTTTAGTAGAGTTTGAGATTCAGCAGTAAGTGGTTTCTTCTAGGTCACTCTATTTTCCTGATGCGAGAGTTCACCATATACATTTTCTTCATATGATTGCTCTCACTGAATCACATAAATTCCAGTATATTTTCCTTTGATTTTTATTTCATTATGGAAACCGTCTAATTTCTTCTTTTATTTTGTCTGTGACCAGGTGGTGCTTTATAAAGGTGTTTAATTTCCATGCACTTGTGGAGCTTTTGTGGTTTCTTTCGACATTGGCTTCCAATTTCATTGCACTAAGGCTTGATGATATGCATGGGTTATATACTTTCATGTTTTTCCCCCTACCTTTTTGTCCCATCTTTTCTCCTTTCTCTCATCTTCATTGTTTCATCCTTAAATTGTGCTTCTTTCCATTTCACTATATTTATTATACTTTTCAGGTTTTATTTCTTTCAAGTTCTTGCACTAGGGAGACAATACAATATGTACACATGTGGGTTTGATTTACTTCCCTTATGAGTATGGCTTCTAGTTTCATCAACTTATCTATGAAGGATTCTAGTTTGTCTTTGTGTACAGCTGAATAATACTCCATTGTATAAAAATACCACATTTTTTTCATCCACTCCTCAGGTGATGGGCATTTTTGTTGCTTCCAAGATTGGCCTACGAAAAATTGTGCTGCTATAAACATGAGTGCACATATACCATTGTGGTATGATGTTTTCAGTTCTTTGGGAAAATTTCCAGAAGGGAAATAGCTGGACTGAATGGGATTTCCAATCCTAATTTTTGAGGAGTCTCCATATTGATTTCCATGATGGTTGAACCAGGCTACGTTCCCAAGGAGAAGGGTTCCTTCTCCCTCACCCCCAGCCTCTCCAGCGTTTGTAAGTACATATATAGGATGGCTGAGGTGATTTCCATGTTTTCCATAAGCTTTTTGAAAATAGTAGTTGATGTGTATAATTTTCACTTTGAGTAATCCTGTATGCTGATATCTGTGATCTAAACAACTATATCAAGGATGGCAATGTGTAATACAAAAACCATGCTTAAATACCCATCATCTTGATCTTCTAAATGTGTACCATTTCTAATGTC